TCACTTATGAATGAAGCCCCCCAGAACCTGGTAAAGCGGAACTCTGTGACCTTGGACTGCAGACTCATTGGGACCCGGAAACAAAGATCCTCTGCCTGCTTCCACCAATATCCAGCGACCCAGGGATCACATCCAGAAGACCTACCCTGCCGGAACCAGATAAATACCTCATTGGCCCACCTTCACGAAGCCTGGGTAGCCCAGGTAGCCTGGGTGAGCCATGTGCAAGGCAAATGCCCTACCCTCTGTGCTATCATACTGGGCTGGAGAAATAGCTCAGCAGTAGAGCGTTTGCCTTGTGTGCAGCTGGCCCTGCCAAGCCGGGTTTGATTTCTCTGCCCCCCTCAGAGATGTGGGCAAGCTACCGAGAGTATCTCATCACATGGCAAATCCGGGCAGGCTACCCATGACGTATTCCATATGCCAAATACAGTAAAAATAAGTCTCACAATGGAGAGGCTACTGGGCCCGCTCGAACATATCAATAAACAACGGGAGGATAGCGCTACAGTGCATTTATATACAAATATCAATCTGATTATTTGATATGTCTAATTTAATAAATTAGAATAACAGATAAAACTTATCTAGCTTAGTATTATATACAATAGTTATATCCATGTTGCAACAAAGAGCAGACAATATCTTCCTTTATTGATTAAGTATAAAATGTACTTCATTTTGTATATATGCATTTTTAAATTATTTTTTCACAATTACAAAGTTGAAATTTTACAAAGTTGAAATTTTAAATAAATTTTATTTATTTATTTTTAATTTTTATTACTAAAACATCATGAGGTACAGTTGTAGACTTACAAATTTTTGTGCTTGGGTTTCAGTTATGCAATGATCGAGTACCTATCCCACCACCAGTGTCCATTCTCCACCACCACTGATTCCAGTATCTCTCCCACCCTCCATCCCCCCATCCCCCTGCCTCTGTGGCAGGGCATTCCTTTTTTGTTATCTCTCTACTTTTGGGTGCTATGGTTTGCAAAAGAGGCATTGAGTGGCAATCATGTTCAGTCTATAGTCTACTTTCAGCATGCATTTCACATCCTGGGCAGATCTTCCCAACACCCTTTGTTTGGTGCTCCCTTCTCTATCTGAGCTGCCTTTCCCCCTAGCATGTGTGGCTGGCCTCCAAGCCATGGAGTAAACTTCCTGGTACTTATCTCAGTTATTCTTGGGTGTCAGTCTCCTATTTTGTTACATTATGTTCCCCAGATGAATGCAATCTTTCTATGTCTGTCCCTCTCTTTCTGACTCATTTTGTTTAGCATGATACTTTCCATGTAGTACCACTTGTATGTAAATTTCCTGACTTCATCTTTTCTAACAGCTACATAGTACTCCAATGTGTAGATGTACCGAAGTTTCTTTAACCAATCATCTGTTCTTAGGCACTCAGGTTTTTTCCAGATTCTGGCTATTGTAAACAGTGCAGCAATGAACATACAAGTGCAGATGTCACTTTGTCTATACCTTTTTTGCATCTCTGGGATATATTCCCAGGAGTGGTAATGCTGGGTCAAATGGGAGCTCAATTTATAATTTTTTTAGAATGGTCCACACTGTTTTCCAAAAGGGCTGAACCAGTCTGTCTTCCCACCATCAGTGGAGGAGGTCCCTTTCTCACCACATTCGCACCAACACTGGTTGCTTTTGGTCTTTTGGATGTAGGCCAGTCTCTGTGGTGTGAGATGATATCTCATTGTTGTTTTGATCTGAATCTCCCTAATGATTAATGATGTAGAGCATTTTCTCATGAAGGCACCATAATTTAAATAGTTATTTTTAGTTAACAATTTCAGCTGCACAATGTTCAACAACAATCCTATCACCAATGTTGACTTCCACCATCTCTTCAGGTTCTATTTCACTACCCAGCCTGTGGTTTGTTGTACTTTGGATTCATCCTTACTGTATTGTTGGCTCTGTAGTTTAGATAAATACATAGACCACACCTTTTTAAAATGTTTGTGGTATATTTTAGGTTAGATAACATGATTGCAAGAGTATTAATGCTTACTATTTTTATATACAAATTTAATTCACTTTTACCACCTCCAAGTGCCCAAGACCCTCCATCAGTGTCATTAAGTGATTTCTAATTTGTCTCTTTCTTTTTATTCTCCCCAAATGATTTACTTATCTATCTGTTTGTTGAATTACCTTGAGATACACAGTTACAAGGCTGTTCATGAGTGGGTTTCCTTCATACAATGTTCCAACACCCATCCATCTACTAGTGTACATTTAAATTTATTTTTTATTCTAGTAACATTTGTTTGCAAGAGTATATTTATATGTTTTGGGAATAATCACCATACACCCACCACCAAAATAAACATACTCCTTCACAGAGATAACTAGGTCCTTTTATTTATCCTCAACTTCTGTAAACTCAAATCATTAATTATAGTTTAATTATTAATTAAACTATGAGACACAACCAATGTCCCCATTTTCCCTCCCGCCAAACCACCCCCCAGCCTGCCTCTATGGCAAACACTTTCTTTCTCTTTCTCTCTCTCTTTCTCTCTCTCTCTCTCTCTCTCTCTCTCTCTCTCTCTCTCTCTCTCTCTCTCTTTCTCTCTCTCTCGGCATTGCATACCACACCTTACTTATCCACTAATCTGCTTTGTGTACTCTGTTTCCAGATATTGAAGATTGTAAATAACACTTAAATTATCATAAATGTGTACAGTTCATTTAAAACTAGTCATTCTGTTCTCTGAGCAGAATTACTGGATAATAACAAACTCAATTTGAAACTAATTTAGAAATATACATAGATTTTCCATAGAAGTTAAGCCAATTTAGAGTCCCACTAAAAATAAACAATGGTTCCATATTTTCTACTTCCTGGACAAAGGCTTTTCTGAGTTTTTTATAATATATATTCATATATATATGCCATTCAATCTCACTGGTATGAGGTGATACTTCATTGTTATTTTGATTACCATTATTTCCCTGATAGTCAATGAGGAGGAGGAATTTTTCATGTGCCCATTGCCTATATTTTTTCTTTGGAATAATTCAGTTTTTAAAATATCAAATAATGAATTGTTTAAATGTAATTAACAAAATACATGTAGAATTTTAAAAAGTCAAATGTTTCTGCTCCCACATGATTAAAGAACTTAGGGTAAAGTTTCTTAATATGGAAAAAATTTTGATAAGTAATTTATGATATCAAACAACAAGCTTTTGGTAAATTATTTTTTTATATGTGAAAGAGTTATCCAGGAACCAGAGACATAATACAGTGGGTAAGGAGCTTACCTTACACGTTGCTAGTCTTAGTTCATACTTGACACCCATATGATCCCCACTAATAGGAGGATTCTTGAGCACAGAGCCAGGAGTAAGCCCTGAACACTTCAGGGTAGTGCTTCCCGGAAACCAAAAATATAACAAAAATAAAGAATTAAAGACTTTATTCAAGGTCAATATAACTAAGGGAAATATTATCAGTATTGACACTTTAATAGAATTAGCAGCTGCCTTTGTATGCATATCAAATAAACAAAAATCATTTACCTTTATTATCTCTTTGGAAAGTTTTGATGGTTGGTTCATTATCCCGATCAACCATGAGTTCCTCCCTGCCACTAGTGATCTTAACTACAAAAAAAAATTGAAAATTTTTATATGCAAAACATCCCAAAGAAAAGCAGAAAAGCATTACATTTATAACTTATTCTAAAAACAACAAATTTTAGGCATTTGTGCTTTTTGAAATAATGAGCAATTTTTGTTTATCTTGTAGTTAAACTGTTTAAGTTTATGAGTTACTAACCATTTAACTTTATACATTTAAAGATTAATTAATACTCATTAAATATTTAATGCCCAAAATAGTTCATTTGAATCACTTAAGGTATTTACTTTTAAATCACATTCAAATTTAGCACAACCTCTATAACTAATATATATTTCCCAAGACACATCTGCAAAGAATTTAGTAACTACTTTCATAAGTTTAAAGTAATCATGCATTTAACTCAATTATAGAGGTTTGCATATAAATAAAAATTAGTAGATTACATATTTCTCATAGAAACTTCACTAAATAGTTCTAATCAGTTAAATCATGACAAATCACAAATCACAAATCATCCTGTCATTCGTCGATTGCCTCGAGCAGGCCCCAGTAACGTCTCCTTCATCCTAGCCCTGAGATTATATTCAAGGCTCTTTAGGAGAATGAGACCCATCATTGTTACTAGTATTTGGCATATTGGGTATGCCACGGGGAGTTTGCCAGACTCTGCCGTGTGGGCAGGCTACATTCGGTAACCTGCCAGTTTGTCCAAAGTAGGAATGAGATAATAAGATGTCATAATAAGATGTCACACGGCCGCTTCTCCGCTTTTGGGGCTGGAGCAATAGCACAGCGGTAGGGCGTTTTCCTTGCAGGCAGCCAAAATACCAAACCAAGCTGAAAAAACAAACAGAACCAGTAGAGCAAGCCAGCTGTGGCCCCAAACCCAGAAACAAAACACAGTTCTCAAGGCCCTGAGGGGAATCGCCTCTGGAGCCTGGGGCAGCCCAGGGCAGGGCCATTTCCGGCAGAAACAAGGGATATACAAGGCCCAGGACTGGACACCGGCAAGGCCCAAAAGTGACCCTGTGAAGGTCACGGGCCGGTGGGAAACCAGAGAAGACAAGCACTGCAGTAGCTGAATCAGCCCCGGGTGGAGACCCCCCCCAAATCCTGGGGGGAGATCAAGCACAGCCGGGTGTGGGGCCTGACCCCAGCCCCTCCTGCTCCAGAGAGCAGCGTCCAGGCGGCTCCAGCCTGCGTGTCAGCCCCACTTCATTAAGATGGACACAGGGTGCCCCGTGGGCAGGAGCATGACGGGTACGGATGGTGCCAACCTCAGTGGGCGGGCAGGGCAGAGCCGGTGAGGAGGACAGCACTGAACCTGCGGCCAGGGGCGACTCGGCCCTGAAACCCCAAGTCCTGGCCCCCTACTCTGCCTCACCCTCTTGCACATCCCCAGATGTCGGTCTGTGGGTCTGTCTCTGAGTTTCCCAAGGCAAAGACCCCCACGGCTCTAAAGAGGAAGGAGGGGGTTCTGCGGGCCAGGCCCCTCCCAGCCCCCCCCAACCCGGCCACCCAGCTAACCTACGGCCCCCTCAGTTGATCTCCTGTCTGGCCCAGCTTAACCCCCACCCTGGCTGGGAGACTGAAAGCGACAGACCCACGCCCCCAACTCCTGCCTCCCAGCCCAGGCGCTCGGTGGGCACGGAGAAGCAATTATTCACGCTAATGACGGTGGTCCAGTCCAACAGGATTTAATGGGCGCGTCTTCCCGCCTGAGTCCACGAGCGAAAGGGGACCGGACGGCGCAGACCACCCTGCACCCCATCCCCCGCAGGCGCGGAGGGGGGGGGGGGCCGACCCCGCCCGCGACCTCTGCTGCCCCCTAGCGGCCAGGGGCGGGGTGAGCCGCGCGGAGGGAAACCCCACCACCAAGGTCTGACTCCCAAGGCAAAGGCTTCGAGCTTTGGGAGGGGGCGCGAGTTCGGAATCCTTCCAGCACAAGGCGCCTATTCTTGTTTTAGTTTTTTCAGTTTTTTTTGTTTGGGGGCCACACCTGGCTATGCTCAGGGTCACTCCTGGCCGGGCTCTAGAGGGGACCATACGGGTGCTGGGGGACTGGAGATGAACCGGGTTGGCCACGTGCAAGGCCAGCACCCTCACCACTGTACTACTGGGCTGGCCCCTGGTTTGTTTCCTTTTTAACAATGAGCCCTCAGGAGAATGTACCAGGATGTGGCATCAGTTTTAACAAGTGATCCCAGGAGAATATACCAGGTCGTGCTGGGTAAACTGAGGCAGGCATCATGACAGTGTTTGCAATTTTTAATTGAATTATTTTAACTGATATTTTACTACAATATTATTTTCTCTGCAAATATGATCATTTTATTCTTTCTTAAATAGGGGCCATACCTGCAACTAACTGACAGGATAGTATTCAAAGTACACACTCACAGTACTCTGGAGTGCCATGTGATATACAATGCTAGGATCACTTTCAAGATCTTACACATGTTAGCTATGCTTCCTACCTAGCCACATTCTGGTCCCAAAATAGACATCTTTATACAAAAAAATCATCAAAATTTTGAATGTCTTTATAGGCAATCTTACTATTATTTTTCACAATTTTTCTATGTACATATAGAGACTAGTTACTGCCAGGCAATGAAGAATACCTTTAATTATCAAGATTATTTTAAGGGAGATTTCTGTATGTTTGGAAGTATTTCACTTTACTTCTAAGTATATGTCCTGTTCTTTCATATGTCTGTCATAAGTTAAATTAGGCTTTGCACTAAACTTTTAGGCAAAATTCAATAAATAACTATCTTGTCCTTCCTTTTCTGTCCCTTCCTTATTAATATCAAATGTTTCGTTACAGATTAATGTGTTTTTGTTTCATAACACTTTAGTGAACAGCTGGCCATGTCCTCTTGTCTTTCTCAGACACTCATAACTCAAATGAATACTATGTGTATTCTGTGTCCACAGGTCAGATCAGAATTAGAAAGCCTTTTTTCCTTTTTAGGATTGAAACGCACTTCTCTAAACACTCTAGCTCAGTTGTTTTTACATGTTGCTGAATATTAGGATCTCCCTATGGTATACTGAAAATCAAACCAATACTTGGTTTGATGATTTATTGGAAATCACGAGAATGAGACTCAGTGTATAATAAGTAAAATAATAATAATAAGATCTATAGCGGTAGGGCATTTGCCTTGCACGCAGCCAATATGGCTGACCCGAGTTCGATTCCTCTGCCCCTCTCGGAGAGCCCGGCAAGCTACCGAGAGTATCTCGCTGCATGGCAGAACCTGACAAGCTACCCGTGATGTATTGGATATGCCAAACACAGTAACAACAAGTCTCACGATGGAGACATTCCTGGGCCCGCTCGAGCAAATCGATGAACAACGGGAGGACCGTGACCGTGATAAATACTTCATATGTGACTAAATCAAAAGGGAGATTTCCAATCCACTGAGCTCAGTATGTAATAAAGAACCACAAAATTGCATATATGAAAATGCCAAGTGAAATTTACATGAGGTCCACATAGGAAATTTTTTTCTTCATCATTCCTGGCGTAACTGATAATCAGAACATGACCTAGTCCCTCAAATTAATCTATATTACAACCCCCATCCCAGAAAAACTAAACCACATTTAAATGTGAACAATTTTAATTTATTTAATTGTACTGTAGTTTAGGTAACATGTTATGATAATGTATTTTTAATTACTTTGATGTCAAAATTTGCTGCTATTCACCTCCACGGAAATGGCCAAAACTTTATACAAACATATGATTTTGTTTCACTTCTAGTACATCACTTCTTCCCCTTCCCTCAAGTCTCTCTCCCAAATATTTGGTAATCCCAGTTTTTCAATCAAATACCTAGGGATAAGAAAAGAATATTGACCACATTCATTATTATTTAATATAATTTTGGAAGTTGTCACCACAGCAATCAGATAAGAAAATGAATTCATAGTTATCAAAATTAGAGTATAATAAGTTAAACCATTATTATTTCCAGGTCACTTGACAATGTTGTTGAGGAGTTTTACCATGAAAGTTCTTTGGATTTTATCATAAGCTTTCTCTCCATAAACTGATATGATCACTTGATTTTTATGTTTTATTTTGCTTATAATATGTATTGCATTAACTGAGTTGTATATATTCAGCCACTCCTTGGACTGAATTCTACTGGATCATGATGTATGGTCCTTTTCCTAGACTACTGGATTCTATTCTATTGTTGAGGATTCTTCCATTGATGCTGAAAAGTAATACTGATCTGTACTTTTCTTTTTAAATAATGTACCTATTTTTAATATTAGGATAATATTTGCTCCATAGAAGCTGTTAGGAATAATTTTGTGTCTTCAATATTTTAAAGAGGTTGAGGGACATAAATAATTATTCTTTTTTTGAAGTGATGCTGAACTCATTGTTAAACCTATTTGAATCTGGGATTTTGTTCTTAGGAAGTATTTTAACTAAATATTTCATTATTCTTACTCATGATCCATGTTTTCAGGTGTTCTATAACCTCTTCATTCAGTCTCAGGAGATTGCATATTCTAAAAATGCCTCAATTCCTCCTAAATTCTCTATCATAGTGGCATAAAGCTGAAAATAGTAGCCTCTCATGATATTTCATATTTCTGAGGTATTTTTTATACTTTGTTACTTTTACCTCTAATCTGATCATTTATTCCTCTTGTGGGAGCTCTGAGCATTTCTTCTAATGCAGTACTTCCAACTACTAGTTTATATCTCTTGTTTGCTTGCTTATTTTCTTCCTGTTTAATCTGTACAGCGATGAGAATTAATTATAAAAGTCCTTACTAATACTGCATATCGATATGCCAGACACAGTAACAACAAAGTCTCCAATGGAGGTGTTACTGGGCCCGCTCGAGCAAATCGATGATCAACGGGAGGGCCTTTACTTACTTTACTTACTAATACTGCATTGCCATAAATATTTCTTTTTGATCTATTAGCAGTTGTTTAAGTAGTTGGTTGAATCTTCATTTGATTTCTGGAAAAGTATGCAATGACTGTTTCTATATTTTCTTTAAGATACAATGCTATTTGGTATGAAAATAGTATGTCGATGTCTACCCTTCATAGTTTGCCACCACCATATGTGATTGATTTATAACAATTCACTCTCAATTTGTTTTTATTATCAGAATTCAATAGTGTCTATTAAAGCACCAGAGAGTTGCCTTTTCCTGATATAAACAGCCACTCTATGGTATTTAATGGGAGAATTAAGTCCATTGACACTCAGATAAGTTATGTAAAGAATCTGTGACCACTAATCTGAATATTTTGATTAAGTTTTCCATTCGATATTTGCATTTTATATAAGGACATTCAGTGTCTATAGAAGAACTGTGTTAGATTTAACAAATGCCCTCAGCTCTTAATGTGTGTAGCTATCGCCCTGGCCCATGGTTCTTGCCATTTTGATTATAATGTGTCTTAGGGTTGGTCATAAACATTTATTGGGTGGGAGGCACATCCAGCTGCCCTCAGGTCTTAGGCATGTTTCCTCTTAGGGATCACTTCTGGTGGAATCAGAGGACTATATGGGATGCCTGTAATAGATCCCAGCTCCACAGCATGCAAGGCAAGCACATGACCAACTGTACTCTCTCTAGCCTCACTTGGATTTTTCCTGAATGGCATTACTTATGCTTCTGGGATCAGTATCCTGGTGAGTTCTGAAGTGAGGCGCAGCTCACAGGCCCTGTCATCATGCTGAACTTCCCCTAGAGTAACAAGAGCCCCTTTTAATTTTCCCAGAGGATTGCACTTTCCCTCCTTCAGAACTCACTCGTTGCACTTGTGTAGTAAATCACAGACCCTGCAGTAGGCATCAATGCCCACAAACTCAAAAACTTGTATTAAGCATAACCCTAGTTCTAATTACATATATCTAGGGGAAAAAATCACAAAGGTAGTCATAGTAGTAAAAAACTTCAAAAACAAATTAAAGTTGTAGGAGAGGAAGGGGTAAGGAGACTGAGAGACTTTCTGGAACCTTAATAAAAAACTCTAAGCAGTTAGTAACAAAATTGGGAAAGTTTCAGCTAGGAAATGGGGTGAGGTAAAACTCATATGATTCTTTCAGAGACATCCCTAGTAGAAGGATGAGTATGCTAAATCAGAAATACTCAAGTGCAGACCACAACAAAAGCAGTGGGTAAGAAGTTAAGAACCCCACTAAGCTCATAGAAAAAGAATAGTAGTCTGGAAGACACTCCCAGTACCAGTCAGCTGTATAACCTGTTAGTCAAAGATTTCAGAGATTATATGCTGAAGATGCTTAATGAGCACAAAGAAATGGTGGTGCAGGGCTGTAACAAAAATACATTGGGTAGGGAGTTTGCTTTGCATGCAACTAACAGAGG